TATTTTGGGACCCCACGCTCCCCCCAATCGCCTTCATGTAATTAAATTTTGGGTGCGATTTAATTTATGCCCCACCAGCACCCAAGCCCCCCCCCCCCCCCCCCCCCCAAAAAAAAATCAAACTAACGCCAAATCTTTTCCATCTAGTCTCCAATGGGTCATCTGGGAAACCATGCGTATCCACAGCACCTCCGCCATGGGCCTCCCGCGCGAGATTCCCGCCGGTAGCGCGCCCGTCGAGATCTCCGGCCACATGTTCTACCCGGGCGACGTCGTCTCCGTCCCCAGCTACACCATCCACCGCTCCACCGAGATCTGGGGCCCCGACGCCGAGCAATTCAACCCGGAGCGCTGGGATCCCGCCCGTCTCACGGCGCGGCAAAAGGCCGCCTTCATCCCCTTCAGCACGGGCCCACGCGCCTGTGTCGGCCGCAACGTCGCCGAGATGGAGCTCTTGGTCATTTGCGCCACCGTGTTCCGGCTCTTTGAGTTCGAAATGCAGCAGGACGGACCCATGGAGACTAGCGAGGGTTTCCTGCGCAAGCCGTTGGGGTTGCAAGTGGGTATGAAGAAGCGGGTAGTGGCCTAAATGAAGACGCGTGTTTCCATTCTATATTTCTCTTCTTCCGTTTCTTATCTTTTTTTTATTACCCACACCCCATCTCCCCTCTTATCTTGACTTTTGATGTCTGTTGTTTTTGACCCTGCATGATGTCTATATTTGGAAGCAGCATGTTCTTTGTTTGTTTTATTTCGTTTTATATCATCCTTGTCCGGGGACTTGTCTGGGGATATGGATCCCTAGACTAAGAAGATATCGGTATAACCTCGGGAGGAATATTCATGATGAGGAATGTCATATGATTTGCATGAAGGTGGTTCTCTCGCATACGGTGTATATTGCATACATAGATATACCGAATTTCTATACAGTGCTTTTTGCTAGCTAAGTAGATCTAAGTGACTATTGATGCTAGATGTTCATTCAATATCTTTTCATCTCAGACGCCTTGTCCCTCTAGTCTGGATATGCTTTTCACGTAGACAAAGGTGTTATAATACTTAATTATACACTCTATTGCGATATTCAATATAAACTATATAATTCATATTATTTAGCTGTAATAAAATACTCAGGTCTTTCGAGCCAAAAAGGTCCAAAAAGCCATCTTGTTCTAAGTCGATAGACCCGACCTTAGTGGTACCAGGTGGTGGTGGTAAGGTCACAATGGGGGCGAGCGCTGCGGCCGGCAGCTGACTAAGCAAAATGATCACGTGGGGGTGTGCCAGGAGCGAGAGGGGTGTGCCTGTAACACTCCCCTGTCGCCGCGGATATACACTAGAAATAACCCTTACTATTAAGGGTTGACCCTTTTTAGTGTAGCGGTATTTTTTCTGCCACATCCCCTTATTGAAATGGTCCGTACTGCGTGGTCTCGGAATTATAGTCCCTTGAAATGCCATTGGTTTGGAAACCAGACTAGGTATCTTTTAAATCATTTTCTGCAAAGCTGAAATAGGTACGAGCCTACTATTGAAGAACTAATTGTCAAACCCTAGGATCCGTCTAAGCTGCGCTAAGCCTGCTACCGTAGATAAGTTCAAGCACTGGGTGATCAACTGGTTGATCCTAAGTCCTGGATGGGTGATACTTAACCTGAGAGCCCGGTGGCTCTACTAACTGGAACGGGTATTGAGTGTCTCGGTGATCCCCCCTGAGGATCCTGAATGCAGCAAAGATAGAAGTAAGGCCAGGTCGGTACGTATACCTTCCTGTAATAGTGATAGGCGAATCTAATAGCAGTAACAAGTTACTATCAAAGAACGTAATTATTATTGAACACGAGGAACTAAACAAGAACTATCTAACAGGTGAGCGAGCGAGTGTCCTTATATAGTTCTTCTTGAGTATACCATCCCGTATACCTTGTAGGTCTGCGGCATACCATCTGGTCTACAACATACCCGATAATATATCGTATACCATATAGTATTGGCATACCATATTACGTGATCCATGTTTCCTCCGTAGCGTCATCAGCCTCGGGCCGCTGTCGTCCTATCGTTTCTGCCTCGCGGCTTTTAGTGTTGCAAGAGTCCGTAACACCACTTTTCCTCCTTCAGGTTCTTTGTCCCTTAAAGAACAGATAAGACAGCTATCCCCCGTCTTATCGCTGGTGAGTGTTCTCCTTCCTTTTCCTGACCCCTTTTCTTGACGTGCGTCATTATGCCCAAGCGTAATCGCTATAAGGAACGTTGCCAACAGGCTAACCGTATTATCCGTAACGGTGTCTAGGTCGAACTTCCTTGTGCCTAGTGCTTTTCCCGCGGTCTTCCCTGTTTTATGGATTCCAAAAATCGAAACTGTGCAGCCTGCACCCGTCGTGGCCGCAAATGCAAAAAACGATTTCATAGTGAACGAGAGTGGGATCGTCTGAAACGTGACGAGGATCGATTATCTTCCGAAATCGAATAAGCTGAAGAGCAAATAGAACAACTCTTCGCTAAACTGAAACGTTTGCGAAAGTATCGCAATTTCTTAAAAGAACGTGGTAGGAAAATATTAGATCATGATTCCTATATAATGGACGTGTTGGACGGAGAAGACCCTCCGTCTGCCGAAGATTTGCGCGAGCTGGATCGTTTGGCCAGTGAACACGAGACTGCCCAGCTTGCTGCTGTCTCTAGTGATCCTACATTGAGCCAGTTGATAAATGATCCCGCTTTTTGGTCGGCTTTCGATCCTTCTGCTGCTGGTGGTACTGTCGAACCGACTGGTGGCACCCCATCAGGTTCTCGATAGGTTCCCATGTATTTTCTGAGGTATTATATTTCTCCCATTTTACCAGGTAGTGTGATCTTCCGCTGACTTTCTTGTGATCCAGGATTTTTTTAACTTTGTATTCCTGTTCCGTATCGTCTGCGATTTCCACATTTTCTGCGATTTGCGCGTTTGCTGGTGCTGGTTCCAATAATGAGACATGAAATACTGGGTGTATCCTTTTCATCGATTCTAGTAGCTTCAAGCGATAGTTAACCGATCCAATTTTTTCTTCGATCGTAAATGGTCCAATCTTTTGGTGGTCGAGTTTCTGACTTGATCGTTTGGTTTTAATGTTTCTGCGGAGCAGGAACACTTTTTCCTCCCTTTTGAAGGTAAGTCTTTTCTCATGGTGCTTATCGTAATATACTGCTGCTCTGAGATTGAAAAAATCGATATCCTTTGACATCTGTGCGTAAAGATATTTGAGCGTATTAAATGTCTCTTGAGCTTCTGTCGCAACTGGTACCTTGTTCCGTGGTTCTCCAGTTAACATAGGGTTGTAACCGTAATTTGCATAAAACGGTATGACTCCTGTAGTTAAATGTATCGCGTTATTGTATGCGAATGTTGCCATTGGTAACAGTCCTGCCCAGTCGTTCTGCTGGTAGTTCACGTAGTGCCTGAGGTACTGTTCTATCGTCTGGTTTATCCTTTCTGTTTGACCGTTTCCTTGTGAATGATATGACGTTATCAATGAGTGATTGATTCCCATTTGGTCGGTAAGTGATTGCCAAAATTTCGATATAAATAGTTTGTCTCTGTCCGAAGTGATTCGTTGTGGCATCCCGTGTCGTATGATAATGTGTGCCAATAGCAAATGTATCATATCTATAGCTTTTATCGTTGTCTTGCATGGTATCATGTATGCGTACTTTGTCAGTCTGTCTGTAATGACTGCGATCATGTCCTATCCCTGAGATTTAGATAAAGGTCCCACGAAATCTATCGTGATCCATTCTCAAGGTCTCGATGGTGCGTCTGGTGACTGCATTTTTCCGTAGGGTTAATGTCTTGCTGGTTTGTCCCTAATGCAAGTCTTGCATTTCTTTGTAATATAATCCTGTACCTTCCGTCTGACGTTTGGAAAGTAGTAGTTCCTTGTGATCTGTTCGGTAGTCTTCTCGACTCCGAAATGTCCGTACATAGGGTTGTCATAATGTATAGCAATAATTTCAGTTCTTATACATTCTGGTATGTAGATGAGTCCGTGCATATACACTAACCCGTTTTCATCAGTAGCGATCTTTTCATTTTCTGCTGAGTTTTCTGCAATTTGTTAAATTATGGCGTCTTCCTTGGTTACCTTGATGATTTTGTTGACAATGTTATCACTGATTTCGATTGTTGCCGAGATCGAATGTTATCTGTTGTACGAAAGTAAACCGTCTTTGTTTTGTTTCAATATTGCCGGCTCCACAATTCGATCCGTAATTTCGTAATCTAGTTATCGACTAAGCGCGTCTGCTTGTCCGTTTTCTGTTCCTTTGCAATGTTCGATTCTAAAATTAAACTGTGATAACTTTTCTGACCATCTCGCTTGTCTTCTGGTCAATTCTTTGGTCGTAGTAAAGAACGTAAGGTTCTTGTAATCCGTTTTCACTAGAATTTGGTGCTGAGCTCCTTCCAGGTACACTCTCCATACTTTGAATGCTGTCACTATGGCTAGCAATTCTTTGTCGTGAATGTCGTAGTTCATTTCTGCCTGAATAAGCTTTCGTGAATGGAACGCAATTGGTTTGGCTCTGCCGTTTTTATCTAGTTGTGTCATTCTCATACCGATAGCATAGTTGGATACGTCGGTTTCGATCGTAGTTAGCTTCTCTGGATCGTACTGTACTAGGATTGGTACGGTCGTAATTTTCCGTTTTACGTCGTCGAAAACTTGCTGTGCCTGTATTGTCTATTCAAACTTCTGATTCTGTTTTAACAAGTTGAATATCGGTACCATGGATTTGGTGTATCCATCGATAAACTTCCGATAATAGTTGATCAATCCAGTAAACTGTTGGACTTCTTTCAGGCTTTTGGGTACAGGCCAATCTCTGATTGCCTGGACTTTGCTTCTTTCCATGTGTACTCCTTCGGTAGTGATCCAGTGTCCTAAGAACTCTGTCTCTTGAATATAGAACTCACACTTCTTGAGTTTCAATCGTAATTTAGCAATGCGTAGCTTCCGTAGCACTTGTTTTACGTGTCGAATGTGCTCTTCTTCGTTATTCGAAAATACCAGAATATCGTCTAGGTACGCGATGACAAAGGTGTCGAGCAATTCTCCCAAAACTTCGTTAATAAATCGCTGGAATGATGCTGGCGCGTTAGTTAGCCCGAATAGCATAACCAAGTATTTGAAATGTCCGTATTTCGTTCTGAAAGCCGTTTTCCATTCTTCTCCTTTGGCGATTCTCAATCTGTTGTATGCGTCGGTAATGTCGAATTTTGTAAACCATTTTGCTCCTCTGATTTTGTCTTGTATTTCTGCAATGAGCGGTAATGGATGTCTGTCCTTAATAGTTTATTCGTTTAATGGTCAGTAATTAACGCACAATCGTAAGCTTCCATCCTTTTTTAGTGCGAACAGGACTCCGTGTCCTGCAGGTAATATCGATAGTCGAATGTAGCCTTTTGCCAGTTGTTCCTCAATGTACTGTCGCAAGATCTGAAATTCTTTGTCTGATATGAGGTAAATTTTTCTGCATGCGACTTTGTCTTCGTTTTTTAGAGGAATGTGGTGGTCATGTTTCCCGTATTCTGGTAGTTTAGGCTTTTCGGGTTATTCGAATAGTTCCTGAAATCTCTCGTATTCGTTCGGTAACTGCTGTGCTTCTTTATTGGCTGCTAATTCTGTAGCATCGATTATCTGCCATAACTCGATCTGTTCATGCAGTTCCGTATTGTATTCAGTAGTAGCTATCGTGTTGGCGTACTTTTGTCGTGTGTCTGGTGCCCAACCAGAAAGTCGTACTAATCATTCTTTTCCCGTAGGTTTGGTTGCTGCCATAACTGCGACCGCAGTGTCCACCTGCTCGGCATCTTCAGTTAGTATGTCTGTAGGTCTACCCCTTGACCTCTTAGCGTTAGCTCGGTTCGCTTGGCCCTGAGTACGCCGTTTGGCCTCAGATGCCTTCTTCATCTGGCCTTGTCGTGGGCATTCACATTTCGTAAATTGAAAACTCTCTGTTTTCCAATTAATCTCTGGGTTGTGATCCCGAAGCCATGGGATCCTCAACACCACGTTATACCGTCCCAAAGGTGTCACGTCGAAACTTATATACTCGAAATGACCCTTTACAACCATGGGTACTGGTCCTGATTCGACTGTAAGGTGTCCTCCCAATAGTTTACCGTTCAGTCCTGTAATAGGCTCTGGCGTAGCCTTTGTTATCCCTAAGATCTTCAGCTGTTCCTGAAATCTTGGATCCATGAAGTTGCCCGTTGTTCCAGAGTCTACCATGACTCGAGCGTTCTGATTCAGAACTGTAGCTATCAACTTTAGATGCAATCCTTTTTGGGCTGTTACTGATAAACTGTTTACCTAACGGGGTTCTGCTAACCCTTATAGCTGTCGTAGGAAATGTTGTCCAAGCTTCGCGTCATAGTGAACTTAACAATAGTCTTCCCAACATCCTGTCCAATGTCTTCTCCCGTGATCTGGGTGCATGGAGTATCCAATGCAAGCGCACCCTGGTTTCCTGCATGGGCATCCTGTCCTTTCTTTGACCATGTGACATTGTGAGATGTATTTCAGTGTTTCGTGTATTGGGTCCTTGCATTCGTCGTCCTGACATGCAACCTATAGTAGGCAATGGTGCGTTGCGTGTGTTGTCTGATACAAGCATTCGCAATTCTTTTGTCGACATGCGTGTAAGGATCTGATGTGACCGGTTCGTTTACTTATTTTCTGTAGAGCCTGATGGTAATCGTGATTCCATCGATCGCATATCTTGCATCTTGTGGCGTGTTCTGTTGCGCATTTCACTCTGTGTGTTGCCCAGTCCTCTCTCTATGGGTTCCAACAGTCCAACTTCCAGTGCAGGCATTGCAAGATAATGCGTCGCAGTCCCCCTGTAAGCTTTGTTGGATCCTGTTTTAGGTCCTGGATCAACTTCTCTTTTCATTACTCGTTACTAATTTCTTTCAGTAGAGTGAAGACATACTGATCGGCTTCACTGTTTTCCTCTTTCTAATCAGAGGCTCTGTGTCCCGCTTGATTATAATCAGAGGTATTCTTGATCATTTGATTATTTTCCGAGTCAGTGCTGCCAGCGTCCTCCTGACCGGGTATCTATTTGTGAAGGTTTTCGTCGGGTGTCTCCAGTATCTCTGAAAGTTCCTCCGTGTTAGGATTACGGCCTTCCCATTGAGTCCCGTAATTTTCGTTTAGTGGGTCGAAGCTTCCTGGCACTCGAGCCTAGTTGTTGCCCAGTGAATCTGGCTTCTTACTGATGGTTTTAGGAGACTCATCCGTCTCGTCATCTATAGGCCAGTGTTCTGAGTCTTCGCTATCGGATATCTCTGGGTCTTGAAACTGTCTTTCTTCCCAATTCTCGTCATAGCGTGTCGCGTTCAGAAGCGTCTCAGTTGCTTCGCTGAATATCTGTAGAGAATTCGCTAATCTCCTTGTGGCCCCTTCCACGTCGTCGGGAATTCGTGGATAATCGCTTTTGTCTTGCGATCTTTGGACAATGCATGATTCTTCTGTTGGTCCTTGCGCGTCTGTTGCGTCCAAAGGCTACCAACTTATGTCGTATGCGCCTCTCGCGGGCTGCACAATCTCGTTAATTTCTTGCGTTGCTCTGAGCTCTTTAGTGCCGGACTTCCTCGGTGTCCTATCGTTGGCTCCTTTTTTTGATGATCTGCACTCTTTCGATCGGTACCCTGCTTTTCTACAGTTAAAGCATAACTGTTCTTTTCTTTGTCGATCGAGCTCTTCTTTTGACAATTACTGTTACCGTCTTTCGGTAGCGTCTAGCTCCATAGGCTGTAGCCTATAAGGATCACTGTATCCTTGGCTTCTTGGTTGCGCTGTTTGTCTGTCGTTGGCTCGATAGCTATTTGTTTTCTGGTGTCCTTGGAATCGTATTCCGGACCGATTTTCTTTTCGTCGAGCATTAAAATCGTAAAGCTTGTTATCGATTTTGACTGCTTGCTCTATCATTTTGCTGAGTGAGTTTGGTTTTTCCATCCAAATCAACTTCTCCTGGATCTCTGGTTTCAGTATTTCCTCGAACTTTGCGATATAAGAATCCTCATCCCAGTCTAGGTGTGAGATAATCTGTTGAAAGTCTGATGCTAGTTTGCTGACCGATCCAGTTTGTCTGAGTCGCCACAGCTTTCTTTCGGCGTTTCTTGTCGCATCGATATCTCCGAACGTTCCTTGGAGTCGTCTTTTGAAGTCGTCGTAGCTGGCGAATATCTCTTTTGTGTCGTCATCTTGTTTGTCGACAGGTTGTTCTTGATAATCCCTAATGTAGGGTTCAAACCAATCGAATGCTGGCCCCGTGAGGTAGGTTGACGCGAAGAAAACTTTATCTGCTTCGTGTGCTAACTTCTTATGGTTCATTCGAAGGTATAAATCCAGCTGAGTCGTGAAGGCTCGTAGCTTGGATCTAGTTCCGTCAAAGGTCTCTGGCGGTCTGACCTTGATTGACTTTACTGCCAAACGCCCTTCTAGCGTCTGTATGTGGCCTTGGAGTTGACCAATCATCCCCATCAGTTCCTCCGTCGTGGGCGCTCTGGCACCACTGGAACCTGAGGTGTTTCGAGATCCAACGTTACTCGAAGTGGTCGACATGGCTGCTCGAACTCGATTCGCACTGCACGGTGTTCAATGTGTCAAACCCTAGGATCCGTCTAAGCTGCGCTAAGCCTGCTACCGTAGATAAGTTCAAGCACTGGGTGATCAACTGGTTGATCCTAAGTCCTGGATGGGTGATACTTAACCTGAGAGCCCGGTGGCTCTACTAACTGGAACGGGTATTGAGTGTCTCGGTGATCCCCCCTGAGGATCCTGAATGCAGCAAAGATAGAAGTAAGGCCAGGTCGGTACGTATACCTTCCTGTGATAGTGATAGGCGAATCTAATAGCAGTAACAAGTTACTATCAAAGAACGTAATTGTTATTGAACACGAGGAACTAAACAAGAACTATCTAACAGGTGGGCGAGCGAGTGTCCTTATATAGTCCTCCTTGAGTATACCATCCCGTATACCTTGTAGGTCTGCGGCATACCATCTGGTCTACAACATACCCGATGGTATATCGTATACCATATGGTGCTGGCATACCATATCACGTGATCCATGTTTCCTCCGTAGCGTCATCAGCCTCGGGCCGCTGTCGTCCTATCGTTTCTGCCTCGCGGCTCCTAGTGTTGCAAGGGTCCGTAACACTAATTAGTTCAGGGGGGTTTGTTTCTCGTGACCCTGGGGCTGGAATCAGCTTCTCTTGTTTGCTTCTTGGCTCTTGTCAAAGGGATTGGCCAATTGGAATGGACTAATCGGCACTAATTTCGGAATTTGTACCACTCAAATGGCGTCATTAATGTTTGATTATCCGACTCGCACTGAGCCCATGGCCTGGCACTTTGCTGTCAGACACTATTATGCCTTGCTTGCTTATCGGTATATTGGAATAATAAGCACCGTTTATAAGTCTATCAGCAATTATCTCCGTACGGAAGATTTTTTCGGCCAATCCATCGAATTGCCTCCTAATATGTCTTTCTGCTAGGAAGACATCGGGACGGACTTATTCTAACATCGTATTTCACGAAATTTGCATCTACCAAAGCCCATTCGGATGACTTATCAATTCATGGAATCGAGTAGACAAATCCAGTCTGGTAGTGCAACACTTACTATAATCATTCAATCTGTCATCAGTTGTACCCTCGTCGCTTGCATTATCGGCCTTGGTCGTGCATAGTTCCCCAACATGAACATCGCGGTTCGCGCGACACACGCGGATATCATCTTTCATTGTTCCCGCCCTTTCCAACACATCTTTACCATCCAGCCTACAGCTCAGCCCTTGGTCTGACAGAAAGTAATAATCGAACCCATAGGCTTCAACTCGTTCAACTGCTACTAAGCTGTCGATTAATCTGTACCCGCAGGTTTCACCCGTCGGGCAATAAGACGTTTCCACGCAAGCTCCTCGGGATTTACCGAAGAGGGTGTAGGTACATGAGCCCAGGTGCAGCACGCGGGTGACGGACCCTCTTGCGCGGGCGTGTGCAGTGACCAGCGCCAGACGATCCGCGATCGAAGAAAAACATCAAACAGCGGAATGCCGTGGATGGTATCCACCAGGTTGGAAGGAGAGGGCAAAAGTTTTGAGATATATGCACAGATGCGAAAGACCAACACGCTAGATTCTATGTCGGCCACCTCAACCCGGTCGCCATCCGGTGCAAAGAAGTTTTACCATAATACGCAGCGAGAAATCTCGAGGGATGCAGCCATTGGCCGATCAAATGTCATCATGAACAACTCAGGTAATATTTTCCGGGTACCTACATGTACATTCCTTGTATCACTCTGAGTCGTGGCAGATGCGAATTTTGTGAAATGCGATGTCAGGATAAGCACGTCCCGATGTCTTCTTAGCAGAAAGACATATTAAGAGACAATGGCCGACAGGGGCACTTGAGAACCGATAAACGAACAGTTTTCGTTATTCCAAACCCAGGGCGACGGTGACCGGGAGAGTTCATATAAGATGCCGTCGACCTTGGTAGCGATTGGTGACAAGTAACCGTTAGTTTTACCATATCTATTCGTCTTAGTATCTGGGTTGTCTACCGGTACCATTAAGTTTAACTTTCTCTTACGTCAACGGACCGACCCCGGCACATTCTTCGGATTACAACTTAAAATTCGCGAACAATTCAGCTCCGGATCCGAATTATCATTATCATCTTCCACGACCTCCCTTAAATGTTGTCGCCATACTACAGAGCGAGTTATAGGACCTATATATCCGGTTCGTAATATTAATCGAGTTTCCGAGAGTACCAGTGAAGGAGAAATGACCCGCGAAATCTCCGGGATAGCATCTTAAAAAAAAGATATATCGTCCCTTAGAGCGAAGGGTGGAAGGATCGGTCTCTGAATAAACCCGGATAAAAGCTACTAGCGCAGAGACAGGCGATCGCAGGCAAAGATACTAGAAAATAAAAAGCGGTCTACTGCAAACAACGCAATGGTGGGCGACTTTATGAAGAAAGACGCTCCACAGAAGGCTTGTTATTGATAAGCAAGCAATGTACAGTACAATAGTGTCTGGCAGCAGAGTGTCAATGATGTACAGGCCATGCATGGACTCAGTGCTGGTCGGATAATCAGATATTGCCCATTGACGCCACTTCAGTGGTACAAAATTCGAAGTTAGTACCGATTAGTCTATTCCAAATGGTCAGTTCCTCTGACAGGAACCTTGGAATGCCCAATCGTCCCTCATGTGGCGCCCTTGTAATGCTCCGCAGACGCTATCTTTGATCGCGTGATTAGAAAAGGTGTAACCTAAGCTGATATAGTGCAATTTGAAGCAGCCGAATTATTCTTGCTCAAAAAGTCATAATACCAGTCTGGGAAAGTCTTCGGTATCACGGATGTCAGCAACAGCCAAGCGGTTAAACGGCCCCAGAAGATGGCCATGCCAGGTCAAATGGCGCTGTCGACGAAAACATTCCGTCATCTCCCAATGCCCATTCAAAATCGGCAATAAACTGGTCATCGATATGTAGAGGGTTTTGTTTTTCCATGTGTCCATTCGGCGCACTAGTAAGAGTTCCAAAATTATCACAACTGTAAGTAGCTCCTGTAAATTTTGTTAACTGTTCATTCTTGACATTGATCTCCTGCGGTGAGCATACCATCAGATGTCGTTCCCTGCAAAGAGCCTGTTTGACGACACTGAAGTTCAAAATCCTCCCGCCACCACCAAACCACGTCGACGACAACGCTTGCGGCGAGTCGGCTGCGGATTCGAAGAGCGGTATACTCGCCATTGTCAGACCTACGGAATGCCCTCGTGCTATTCGAGAGTTGACTCGTAATAGTGGCTAATATTGCCGCAGCATCATGCTGATCCACTGACATCTGCCGTGATAGCTTGATCGCCGTGAAGGATGCTTTCGCTTTCTCAATATTCAAACCATCCACTGCAGGGCCCTTGAATATGCGTAGGAGAGAGGTAGAGGCTAGCATCAAACCAAAGAGCATTTGAGTAGGGATGGTTCCTAGACTTGATAATTTTTGGCTTAGGCCATGCAAGTAGTCCACTATGGCACAAGAAGTGGTCATTATTCGAGAAAGGCAGTCTCCAGACACTGGATCGTGAGCCTTTAAGAAATTATAAACCTGAACGTTGAGGCGACAGATCGTAGTATAGAACCGTTTCTCATCTGCCAGCAGTTAGTTTGATGCAACTTGAATTGGGATCAAGATATCTCCTGACTCAGCCTCCACCTCCAAATTGCTGACCTGATTCTCAAACGATCGTAAGAGAACATCTAAGCTCCTTTCCTGTTCCCGAGACATGACTCGAACCCCAAATTCCGTCATAGCTGTGCTGCATCGTGTAATGAGATCATGAGCTTTGACATACAAAGCCAAGGCCGGTGATATCTTGGGAAATAAAAATTGACGCTGGCCTGTATCCGGCTCCAGATCACTGAGTGAGCGAGGCGGTAGTCCTTTCTTGTTGCACGATCTACGTCCGTTAAGTTGGAGAAATATTTGCGCAAGGAAGGGATAACATACTGCTGATATGAGATAACACAGTGCGCCCATAGTTCCGAGCGCCGGGCCAGATCCGCCTCGGATGGAGTTGGAATCCTGATTTTCGCGAACTCATGACTGGACATTGGGATATGAAGTCCATTTTGCATGGCCATATGCAGCAACATTCCTCCCAATACGAAGGTTATGTCTGGTTTGGTGCCACGTGAGGATGATCAGTATGCCTTGAATGATATGCCACTGTGGTGACGTTGAGGCAATGGATACCATGGCCATTTCCGTAATACTCTGTCCGAGGGCAGATAGAAGCGTCGGGTTCCGGTACATCCGAGACGCAACGCCAATTACAGCCCAGAAAATAAAAGGACACTGCGCGTAATAGGAGTTGGGTGTCGTGTGAGGATCTAATATGGGTGAAAAGGGTGCATATTCAGCAAAGAACCTTCAACGGCTGTTAGCTCGTTGTGCACTAGGTATCTCTTCGACGGTTTAAACTTACATATGAAATAGTTCATCGATTTCAACCTCGGAAATGTGGACACTGTTCAAACTCCGTGGCTGGGTAACACCTTGGATCCGTTCTATCGGTGCCGTTTCTGAGGTAGACAGGGACGGGCCCACGAGTTCCGGGGGATGCGGAGGCATTGGCTGCACATATGTAGAAGCTGATGATTGTGACTGGGGAGTAAGGTGTGATCCAGCCCTGCTACCTATGCCATGGGCCTCCATTTCAGCTGCAGCCGTCAACATTGCGATTGGTGACGACTTGGGTTGAGCGCTTTGTGAAGACCTCAGCTTTTGACGCAGCTGATCAGTCTCATTTTCTAGTTCGGAAAGTCGTCTTATGTTCCATCAGCTCCAAGCTTTGTTATACGGATCAAGCCAATGGACCTACTGACGCTTGTGCTCTCTCCGAAAGGGATCGGAGATGACACATTCAGTTTTCATCTTAAGACATCTACTGCAGGGTCGATCCGAATGAAGATAGGCATCACATTTTGCCTAGGCCGGTGTCAGGACAAGGAATAAGTAACAATGGTGTTGAATTGGTTCCAAGTGACTACCTTTTGCTGCCTACACTGCGTGCATGGCTTTTTGTCTTATTTGGGCGTTCTGGGACGGGAGTTAGTCGTGTCTCCAAGAACAGACATGACAGTCTGAAAAACAATGCACCTTTCTGAGTCATAATCCATGTTTGCAAATATCAATGGACATCCTGAGCGATCTCATTACCCTTCGACTATTGAGGGATCCGAGATGGATCAAATCTCACGAGAGTGACTTGTTGGGCGGAAGCGGGAAGGATGGATGGTCTGGGCATAATAATAATGAATGAGTATTATGCATATTATTAGGTCAGCATATGCACCTGCAGATGGCAACTGGGTCCGAGACAGGTCAGATCTGATTGGTTGATAAAACCGGCACCAGGGCTTGGCCTTTTTATTGCCTGAGGCAGCACAGCCGGCATTATTCCTTCCACAAACGGTAACTAACTACCTCAACTCTGTTGCTTACAACCCCCCTACGGATTGACAAGAGACCTACGGAGTACCCCAGGTCTAGCATCGGATTCAATCAATGTCCTGTCACTTCCTTCTATATATAGGAGAACTATAAGAGAACCAGCCCAGACTAAAAATACGAGTACGGCACTTGGCTTGCCCATGAAGCCAATCAACGGAGATATGATAGCATGATACTGAGTCCAGTCCATTTCGTGAGAGCTCCTGGGTTGGCCCCTTTCTCGATACGGACATGGCACCGCGAAATGGCAGAGACGGACTGTTTTTAATATAGGGATTGACGTCTTGGCAGGTGAGAGAGTGAGTCGGGGTTATAACAAGACCAGCAAAATTGCTTGACCCCCACTTCCTCCCTCAAGGCGTTGGAGAATTTCCCCATTGATGGTTTCCTCATACGGCGGTTGTGAGTAGGCTGGTTGGTGGAGAATCGCGTCCACGGGTTCGAACGGTGGCCCTTTTGACCGTCGAGGCCCTACTGCCCACAACGCCCAGACTCCCGTTGTATCAGACTGATCACGGAGTGGAATTCTATTCCCTGTCCCTGGCGACTAATTTGCTTGGCACTCTATATGAGTTGAGAACTTCATTCCACCATTCTGCTAGCATATAAGGGCCAATGTCTTCAGAGCCATACGGCAAAGTTCGAGATATCTATCCCCATCTTCCTTCATTTTCTTAGCTATTGACTAGCTTCTTCACTCTTTCATCCACTTTTCTTTCGTTCTTTTCTCTTCCATTTCGTATAATTTCTACTAAGGTCACCATGAAGGCCACTCTTTCTCTCACTGCCGTCCAGCTGCTGGCCAGCCTGGGTTCAGCCCTCCCCACGCACGACCACTCCTTGGCTGGCGTTAAGCGTGCCAATGTCTCTGCCTCTTCCTGGAACCCCCCTTCGGACTTGGTGAAGCCTCTGAAGGAGGTAAGAATTTCCTCTGCCCTCTCATCTCAAGATCCGTCCTCTGTTAACATTCAATGTCTAGGTCTGGGACCACGAGATTGACACCTACACCGACCCCCTCGGCTTCAAGAACTACGGCTTCGACCAAGTGATCGACGGCAAGGGTAAGATCAACTACTGCGTGCGCTGGGACTCGACCAAGTCGGTCACCGCCACCCAGCGGGAAGGCATCGAAACCGCCGTTCGCAAGGGCTTCAACAAGTGGATCGAGAAGCTCGCCGGGTTTGACGGTTTCCCCTACGACACCGTGGATGTCAACGTTGTTGGCTACGCTGTCAAGGACAAGTCCCTCCTGGAGGGCGACACCTCCGGCATCGAGGTCTACACCACCACCGACGACGACGGAATCCCTCAGTGTGACCCCAAGTGTGGACGATTCTTCCACCAAGATGGTGACTACAGTGCCTGCGAGGCCGGTGCTGACCGTCACTACGGTAAGTGGCTGTTTGTACTATTCGGTTAATCTAGCTGCATCGACTGACAACTTCGCAGACCAGAGCTTGTGGCTCAGCGATGACTTCGAGGGTGGTGCCGGTGGTGACTGGGGCCAGCGCGTTGGACAGCAATACTTCGTTGAGAGCTTGGGCGAGGAGAACCAGCACATCTACCTGCACGAGATCGGCCACACCTTCGCCTTGGATGGTATGCTTTCCTCTTTCCTCTCTCTCTTTTCTCTATCTATTCCCAATGGTTCGATTCCTAACCCATTTTTAGATTTCTATGACTGGACCCCCACCGGCCAGACCAGCTTCATCATGCTGGCTGGCAGTGCCACCGAGATCACCGAATTCGACGGATGGATGGCTCGTGACTGGTGGCGCAACTTGAAGAGCCGCTACAGCCTGTAAGGGTGTCGTGTGTCGGCATAGAAAACCGTAATCAACTTCACTTCTTAGTTCCTAGAGCTAACAAGTGGATATTGAGTTGAATTCCAGTAGACAGAGAACCGTTTACATCTACTGAGCGACTAGCCAATAGTATATATTTAGGGGATGCTAAATTTTAGTTCATGTATTTGTAGATCTGATGGTTTTTTGTCTCATATGTTGTTGGGTTCAAATTTGGTTTGGGAGGCATAGTCTTCATTAAAGCAATCCCAACTATGAGGTCCGTTACTCATGCACCCCGTCAATTGGCCTTCTTAACCAAATCTCTTTTTCTATTGGTGTGATGGTCTCAATAAACGGTGCATCTTACTCATTGCCAGTTTATTTACCGCATTTCAAAGGGGGGGCTTTCTTTTTTCGCCTGGGGTAGAACTTAGTAGTGTACCTTCACTGTCAAGGTCACCTTTGACTGCCAGTCTCTCGGCTGATGGAAGGGTTCTGATACACATCCAGGCTATGGGATCTTTACTCCGATGATTGCAACAAAAACCCTTACTTGGATAGATGGTTTATCCTGTAGAAGCTATGATCATAGCATGGCTTGTTCACTCACGTGTTTTCTATTCAGCTCGGTTGGCCTTCATAAATGAACCCCGAGAGCCTCTAGACCCCATCAGATCATACATAATCCAAGCTGGAAGATAAAAACTCAGATCAAGAAATAAATGAACAAGTTACACCCGGAAGCACAGTTCACAGTCCCACCAAAGGACCACTGCAATCTCCCGAAATCATGAACAATGTGACCCAAACTACCCAATCTGCTCTATCTGATCGGATCACCGTCACGGTCACCGGAAAAAGTGAATGCTCACGGTCCACCACCACAGTGTGTAGGACACGAAGGGGAAATTCTGTCACTCCCGAAATAACCTTTCCTGACCCGACCCAGTCTTGGACGACCGACCGACCGGTCTTGTTCGGTAATTCTGCAAGTGCCAAGTGAAGGGGTCTCTGATGGAGCTTAATTGAGTTAGATGCATCTTTAGTTAGTCTGGTGGGTACCTGGAGACCGACAGAGTGGCGGGATTGGAGAACATCTCGCTAGATAATCCTGGTTTTATCAGCGCTGAGAAGGAGGGTTTTGTTGTACCTCGACAGCTGATGGTCTATGATGTATGCTTCAGCTCATTGTTGCCCGGTTTTGATTCTTCCAGGCCTCAGCATATTGCACAGGGCAACCCATTTGCCAACGCATACTGACTCCCGACCAATCGATACGGCGGTCATGGTCAATGGACGGGATTGTTGACCGGGTCAGTGCGGGTTTTGCGACCGTAGAGGCGGGGAAAGAGACAAAGAGGAAGATATCCATCCACGGGCTGAGACCTGAGCTGCCAAAGTCGGGGCCCACTGGAGTCGAGAAGAACCATTTGGAATCGCTCAATGCCAAATTGGAGTCCCCACGGACTTTCTCCCGAACATATCGCCGATCGGGAAGGGCTGAAAAGCTGATCCTGTAGGCTGCCGGAAGATGCCATAGAGAAGGTATATCCACCTTGACTAGCTGTGCTCACGTCATCCTGAGCGTGCGAGTGGCCGAAACGAGATTCCAAATAGTGGAAAGTGGCGGGTGGATCCATGCCCGAGGATTTGGAATCCGGTGAAATCAGAGTTTCGCCGTGACGCAAACGCTGCAGCTATGACAAATTCCGTAATCCGAAGCGCTGGCCAGGGCGCGGGGCGGGCATGGCAGGAAATAAATATATCGTTTCGTGCAGCCTCAAGGGTCCCCAAGTCCTGAGCACCTTGTGAGTTAACAACTGGGATCTTTTTCACCTCCAATACCAATCATGCCTCTCTCCGGTCACTGTCTCTGCAAAGCCGTCACCTACACGGTTGACGTCGATCAGCCGGCGATCACTGCCTACGACCACTGTGACGACTGTCAGCGCCAGAGTGGTTCGACCTATTGTGCGCATCCTGCCCTTGGCTTTTTTCCATGCATACCCTCTTACAAACTGGCCTGACCTAGTACTTACCTGTTGCAGCTCTGGTCGCGGTCGTGCCCAAGGAAAAGCTCACCATCAAGGGTCCCACCAAGAAGTACTCCAGCAAGGGTTCTTCTGGCTTTGACGTCCACCGCATTTTCTGCTCCGAATGTGGCTCCCCCATCGCTCATGATCCCGATGCCGCTCCCGAAATCATTGCTCTCAAGGCAGGCACGCTGGACTCGGAGATCAAGAAGAACCTCAAGCCGGTATGTAGAGACACTACCCCGGGAATGAATAACGGGTGCAGTTAAGATGAAACATGAAGCTAACAGTCAGTTGAAGGACACGGAGATCTGGACCGTGAGCAAATTGCCCTTCTGTAAGGAGAATTTGGCCAAGCCATTCACCCACATGCCGGAGTAAAAAAGGTGATACGTGGGTGGAAGAATGTTATTGATGATGAATGAATATCATGGAATTAGCGAGATGTTGAATATGAATGACAGATTGTCTCTTGGTCTTCTCAGATATGCGTGTCTCGTAGAAATGGTCTTTTTGACTTTGTCTTTCGGGCCGATGTAAGGATTGGCTAGGCCTGATGCGAAAACCGGACAAGGTTTATTCGTAGTACGCAGCAGGTTGGCAATATCGCCTCTTGGCTCGAATCTTCGATGTTTTAATCGTTCAAGAGAGCTGTTTCCTAATGACGAATTAGTGGTGTGATTTGCCCTATCGCTCGTATGTCATTACCAGCGGCACTCACAGCCCAGCGACAACCCGATAATACCCCAGTTGCGGATAACATTTCTAATAAGCTTCAGCATGGTGTACGTTGAACGTATCACAAAAGACGTGGTTGGTCTAGGTCGTGGCGGAGGTCATTCCAACACAACGCCACCGCATGTGAGAGTATCCAGGAGGACGGAAAAGGGGTTATGTGAGACAAACCCCAGATGAAGTGGTTCACAGGATGGACAAGCAGATTTGAAATCATAAAGCTTCAGAATCAGGGGTATGGAGAGGTCCAGTGTTCCGATAGATGGTGGAATTCTTAGACAAAATGAGAACCAGGATCAGCTTTTCCATAGCTAAAGCTGGGGCCTCCTAAAGTGTGCTCAATGGAGAAGTAATGAAATAACTGCTCGTGCAATCTCGGTGTCAGTTGTACGGATCAGCGCTGAGAGGGTGTCACCGTGCTCGCGATAGCCGCATTGTGCTCCCTGTGTTTCCGCTTATATATTTTTTCTTGCGTAACGCCCTACACCTGACTGCAGGTGGAGGGCCCAGACGGGGACTGGGTGAGGAATATGTTCTATGTAACCATCAGGGTCTCAGAACCATGCAGTGTTATTCCTACACTGGTGCAGGTGTGATACTTCCGGGTACGCCTCAGCTACGCTTGCGGTGGGGGCGTTGGTCCGTGGGTTCAAAAAGGCCTTCGCTCACCATTGACATGTTGCAGTCAGGTGAAAGAAAAAAAAATGACTTCCTGTTTATCTCTATCTTCACTTGGTGCATGATTGGTTTCCTGGTATCTTATTGTACTGTCACAAGCTCTCGCACCATGAATCGTGACCGGCTTCCAAGGAATTCTGGGGATGTCTTGCCCAAGAGCGTCAAGGTTCGATCGACATGCAACGCCTGCCAGCAAGCCAAGATCAGATGCAGTCACGAAAAGCCATCTTGTCGAAGATGCCAGAAGCACAAGATCGAGTGCATATACAGCATGTCCCGAAGACTAGGGCGACCAGCGAAAAAGAGAGATCCTTTACATGACAGTCAATCTCTGGCCCAAGAGTCGCCGATGTTCCCTCGCCATCAGGCGAATCGAAGGATTCGAAGTCCCAGAAAAAGCAAGACCAGAGAGGAGGCGATTTTAGAAAGAGACCAAGGAGAAAGATATTTTCCGGGCACAATAGAAACGATGGTACTGGACAAAAGTCCATTCGAGGATAGCATGATTGAGGACATGTCCTTCGAGGATGCAGGCTTACAGGCCTCGTCATTCTTGAATTCCAGTCGGGCATCGCCCTTTCCTGGTTTGTTTTGCCCCCACGGTATCTCCATTGACGTGACTAACAGTCAATTCAACTGTAGCTTCGGAGATTATCGATTTATCTTCTGATAGTTGGCTGCAAGATTTTGTTCCTGCGCAGCCCTCGGATATGGATCCAGACAACAGTCTTCTTCAGACGATTTGTGTCAACCAGGCGAAGCCAGAAAATATCTTCCCTGCTTCTCAGATGGACATTCACGACCTAAATAACACAATGGGCGTTGTAGATACTTCTCCACAATTGCCAAGCCAGTCGCTTTTGATGGACTGTTATCCCACCGGCAGTGTCCTTATTCCGAATGATGAGGGACCAGACTTCGTTCAGGCTATGCCCCGGCTCCATTCTTCAACATTTATGGAGCATCCCATGAGCGAATATCAGCCGTGGGCACAAACTCTCTCCCCCTCAATTGAACCTTTACCGAATAGGCCATCTGTCGAAAGCGAAACAATGGAACTTCCGGCACAGATCAAGACTGAAACACGTATTCGCGAATATAAGCTTCCGTCCAATGACCACAGAGCCAAACCCCATGTATTAAGCGCCGACGGGTCTCGTCAATACCAGTGTCAGTGTCATGAGCAAGCAGTTCGAGAGCTTATGCAGATGAATTTGCTTGTCTATCGCACGGAGTCAACCATTACCATCGATTCGATTCTCAGCTGCCAGCGTGTGTTACAGCAATTGGCGGAGACGGTCCTCCGGTGTGGTATCTGTTCGAAAACGATGGTCAATCTTCTTATGGTCGTTGTCGTAAGCATCGATAGTCTGGTGGGAACGCTTGAAAGAATCACATTGGTTGAGAACGGGTTGGCAGAAGGGATGTTTCACGAGCAGCAAATTGCTGGCAGACCCGAGTACTCCCGAGCTTCCAAAGGCGGACAGTCAAAAGAGGTTGGGAATCGTTTCAATTTGCAAGTTGAAGCCTGCCCTTTGCTGGTGGGTGGCTTTTGTGTTCCCTCAGATGAGAAATTTTCCTTTGTTCATCAGGTGTTGCATGCTAGGTTGTCTGGTTTGTTGGGCACTGTTCGCCGCATTCAATTCTGCACCCAGGAGATGTTGGCCGTCTCAGCATCACAGGGTAAACTAATCATGATCATGGAGACGGATCGGAAGCTGCGGTTGGTCATGATGAAAATGAAAATGCTCACTGGGTAAAGGCGAGGCCTGGAAATGAAAAGTGCATGCTTTGGTGTTAATTGGAATATACCTCTTCACCAGAAGGGCTTTCTGAGGTGCAAATGATTCCTGTCAGGCTTTTAGGCTCGCCCGATAGTGTGAAAGTAGGTTGTTAGGTCTTTCACACTACCCACCAGCGACAGATTCTTGTCACTGCCAATAGAATGCTTGAGAACTCGGGAAATGGTAAAGGAGGGCCACACAAGTCAGTTCTAACGTTCAATGTGACCATTTCCCCGCCCCTCTTGCCTTGGCAGATGTAGGTCATCTAGACACAGATATCGCTCGTAACTATCGACATCCGTGCAACCTTAGAATGATTTTCAGTGTTGCACGAGGCATTGGCCCCATAAGGGAGCCACCAACAGGCCGTGTGTTCGGCGCCGGGGGCGAGGGTAATGTGAGGCGGTGTTCCATGCCTATCCGTCACCAACCGTCCGAGGCCTGGTTTCTATTGGGCTGGGATCAGGAGGAATCAAATGAGATAATGAAGATGTTGCACCCGTCAGGTCAAGCTTACCTGTTCCCAAAGTAGAGCTTGTCTGCGTGATTGCTAGCCCGAGAGGTACCAGGCGCTAGCATTCTGGGATAAGTAATAAGAAAATGCATCATGGGGTTTGATAAGGCATGAATCAATCTCTGCTCCGTTAACAGAGAAACGCAACCACAGATTCTTTCCATGCTTTTCGCGCACCGATGGAGACCAAAGGAAAGTGTCAATGTCCCATGAATGCTGTACAAATCCTGACCGAGCTTCGTAATGCCCACACCGTTGTGGAGCTTGGGACGATTCTTGACTTGGTCCATCGTGTCTATAGCCAAGGACAGGCTATCCTTCAGTGCAAGGAATGCAGAAACACCGCCCAGTCATCTTTTGTTACCATCCCGGCGCTTGCGGAGCAGTGTCTATGCCTCTTCGAGGCTATCTGTCTGGCATATGGGATTTCGCGTCAAAACACTCTGTTTGACCCCAGTGCGCTGGCAGTTGAACAACCTTTGCCGCAGTTCATCTGTATCCGCAGCAAAGTTCAGCTGGGCGAGACAGAGATGGACGAAGAGGATTCGGGGGTCCTTGTGCGGATGCTTCTCAGTCGCAATTTAATGAGACTTGTGGATCTTTTAAAAGCTCTCCGCGAAATTCTGCAATCCCTGTGTAAGGACAATACACAGTCGCATCGAACCGGCTCACTGCGGAGTTGTGAGTCCTCCGTGGAGACCACAATCCGCCGGTTTGCCGTTTTCATGGAACAAATCGGCTTCAGTTCCCAGTAGGTAAGCAGGTAATTCACTATTCTAGCAAGTGCGACCGTCACTAATGCTCCCAGTGAGCCGAGTTAGATCTGCAAAACAAATGAAATGACGGGCGGATTCTCTCATGGATTACATTCTCTGGTGGCATGATGATTTCAAGGCAACGTCAGAATGTACTTCAGGACGAATAAAAACAGTCGGCGTTAATAAAGGAGTACTGAAGAAGAACAATAATCGCATGAAGTGGGTTAAATTAAGCACGTTCCGTTTGACCTAACCGCCGATGATACCGTCCCACCCATTTGTGGATGCAAAGGGAGGGACGAGGGGACTCGAGGGACGATGCAAGCGGAAAGGGGGACCCTGGAATCTGGAAGCCTGAGGCTGCCAGGGGGTCCGCATTCGGTCGCGAGTGATGTCTGAGGCCACAGGTACCGGTACCTCGATGGTGAGCGCTATGGCCGATGATGTCACGGTGACCGCCAGGTTTCTAGCTGGTCCGTGCCTGTATAGATCGCGGGGAGCCAATCAGCGGGGCCAACCGTTCCGCGACTTCCGCTCGCTGAGTCAGCTTTCCAGGACCTGATGGCATTGACCGAATAATGTCTACGATGGTCGGCATTTTCGGGCTCACCTTGCTTCCTTCCCTTCTGCCTGCATTCCGTCAGCCCCTGCCATGTTTCCGCTGTGAAGTCGCTTGAACTTCGCCCAAAAGATTCCACTCTCCCCTGCTCCCCTGCCTCCTATAGTCTCATGGCATATGCTTCACCCACACCGGACACCCCGGCCGAGGATGTCCGACAGCGCCCTCCGCGGTATCCCGGTGAAGACACCACTCCGACGAGCCGTCGAGAGATCCTGGGCTGGTATGCCTACGGTATCGCGGCAGAAGTCTTCGCCGTTTGTGGCGTAGGTATGGCTTCCTTTTCTTTTTTTTTATATCTCTTTTTTTTACCTTTCGTTTCCTTTCCCGCACCGCAAGACTTCAACTTGAAGAGTACTCATCAGGAATGCATAATATAGGCTCTTTCCTACCTCTCACTCTGGAACAATTGGCACGCGAACGCGGAACACTTCAAACCAGCCACCTCCCGTGTACCGGTCCGGGCTCTCCTTCGGCAGCTCCTGGAAATGGAACCGCCCCGGCCATGTTTCGACGCGATGGGACGGGCAATGAGCAGTGTGTTGTCGGGCTGTTAGGTCTGGAGATCAACACCGCTAGTTTCGCCATGTACACCTTCTCGCTGGCTGTGCTTGTTCAAGCATTGACCTTGGTGTCATTCAGCGCTCTCGCAGATTACGGTATGACCTATAATCGCTTTAAACCCCCGACCCTCACGGGCTGACCGTTGACCATCTTCACCGTTCTTCATTTTGTAGAGAACAACCGTAAAACGCTTCTACTAGCATTTGGATTCGTCGGATCGATGACCAGCATGTTGTTTGTCCTAATCGCACCACCAGTTTTTATCCTCGGCGCGTTGTTGGTGGTCATCGGCGTCACTTGCCTTGGCTCATCATTTGTCGTCCTCAATTCCTTTTTACCCGTTCTGGTGGCCAATGACCCGTCCGTTCAAGATGCATCCAAGCAAATCGAAGAGATGCACGATTTTGAGTCCGATGCGGGCTTTTCTCCGCGCCGAGATTCGTTTGCCGAGGACGAGTACGATTCGGGCTCTCGGGGCCATTCTGGTCTGGGAGGGGGGAACGACCCGAAATCAACGTCGCCAGAAATGCAGTTATCAACTCGTATCTCATCAAAAGGTATTGGACTGGGTTATTGTGCCGCAGTCCTCGTACAGATTCTCAGCATCACTATCCTCTTCACGCTGTCGAAGACGTCCATCTCGAAGTTCTCAGGGACCCTTCCGCTGCGATTTGTGCTTCTGCTGGTGGGTATCTGGTGGTTTGCCTTCACTCTGGTGACGCGTCGGTGGCTGCGCAACCGTCCGGGGCCCCCATTGCACTCGTCCACTGCCGGCGGGCACGGTAGCCGGTGGCGCGCTTGGCTGAGCCTAGTCGGCTTTGCGTGGAAGTCGTTGTGGGGAACGATCAAGATCGCAGTAAAGCTTCGGGAGGTGATGGTTTTCCTGGTCGCATGGTTCCTGTTGTCAGACGCTATGGCCACTGTATCCGGTACAGCCATTTTGTTCGCGCGCACGGAGCTGAAGATGAGCACTACGCTAATCGGGTTGTTGTCGATCACCGTGACGCTTTCTGGGATGGCGGGAGCCTTCCTGTGGCCAATCGTGTCGCGCCGCTTCGGACTCAAATCGAACCATACGATCATGATTTGCATTGGTCTGTTCGAATTGATCCCACTGTACGGCATGCTCGGGTTCATTCCGGCTTTTAAGAAATGGGGCGTGATCGGGCTGCAGCAACCATGGGAAATATTTCCGCTGGGGATCATTCATGGAATCGTCTCGGGCGGCCTGTCATCGTACTGCAGATCCTTCTACGGACTGCTGATCCCCCCTGGCAGCGAAGCCGCATTCTATGCGCTTTACGCTGCAACCGACAAGGGAAGTTCATTTATTGGACCGGCCATTGTGGGACTGCTTATCGATGCGACAGGCCAAGTGCGAACGGGATTTTTCTTCATTGCCGTCCTGATTGTCCTGCCGATCCCACTGGTGTGGATGGTGAACGCGGACAAGGGACGACGCGAGGGAGTCGCCATGGCGGAGCGACTGGAGATGGAACATAAATCCGAAGGAGGCGAACCTACTGAGGAGGCCGAGGGCCTGTTGGCGCGTGGAATGTGAACGCGACGACTTGAACGAAACCTGGAATGGGATGTGTATATGTGGCTACGACCGACATGACCCTGGGATGGATAGATAGAACGGATAGATCGATAGATTGATAGATGCGTTCGCCCGTCCGAATACAACCAAGATCCACTGCACTATTGTCTGCCTGGCTGCACCATTGCATCATTGCTATTTTGATCGCTCCGATCCTGTGAAATGAGTCGATTGTTAGACACAGATGATCGATCGATCACCGTTGCCTGCCTGTTTGGTGCGCGGTCCGTCCTAATGACAGGCGATCGTTCGAGGTGTCAGACGAACAATGCAGTATATAATTCTAGACCTTCAACGAACACAAAGGCACTGTGAGTTCCTGTCCCCGGCTGCTCTCCATTTTCGTCGTTTCTGTTCTCGCAGTGCTCGCGATGGACATCGGCTCCGACGTAGAGTCCTTGTACTCTTACGCTTCTACGGTCGCTCTCGATGACTTTCGCGACAGAAGCAACGAACTCATCGAAGGCTTTCCCCATCCCCCGCGACAATCGGGATGCGCGTCGCCCACGGCCTCCGTGAAGACTCTGCGGCGCAACTACTTCGTCAACGAGTTGCCCCTATTGCAAGAAACGAACCCGTACGATGGCTCCGCCGAATTTAATCCCGTGCGCGAAGACGGAATCTCGTACGATCTCATCGCCCCGTATGGCGGCGGCGACGCCCCGCTGCACTCTCTGGAGCGCATGGCCGACGTGATGTTTTCGATCGACCACATGCACACCATCCTCAATGACTCTCGATACCTAGCGCAGTTTCGCGAATTCCTGCTCGACGAGCGACCACGATCATTGTCCACGCTAACCTACTATTTGAACGCCTGCAAGGCCCTCAAGGCAATCGAGTATGCCAACTCTCTCGTGCGTCTGTCCGTCGACGTGCCACCACCTTCCATCCAGCCTGTCGATCGCACTCAACACCTCCCACTGGTCGGACTCACTGGTAATCCGGCGCTCGAGCGACGCGTGCAGGAGGCGCTCCAGGCGCTGACCGCAGAGGAGCTCCCGGCTTTCATCACGTCGCGATGCATCTCCATCACCAGCCAGATCGTCGAAGAACGGGTCCGAGGAACCCTCCCGGAGAAGTTCCAGGGCACGTCAGATGCGCTGGCGGAAGTCTTCTGTCTAACTGATCCGTCGCGACCAGATAACCCGATCATCTTCGCATCCGAGGGTACGATGGCCATGTCTCGGTGCTGTCCGTGGTCGCTAACACGGGCGTAGAATTCCACCGCACAACGCAGTATGGCATGGACTACGTTCTAGGCCGGAACTGTCGATTCCTGCAAGGGCCCAAGACGAATCCTCATAGCGTGCGACGCATTCGAGAGGGCATCGAGTCGGCCCGGCATCATTCAGAGCTTTTTCTCAATTAGTAGGTTCACCTTTTTGGCCCACGACTTGCCTCTTGCTGTCGCTGTCGTTATCACTGCACGGATTCTGACCATCCCCTCCATCATCCCAGTCGACGAGACGGGTCTCCGTTTATGAACCTTCTGCAATGCGCGCCACTTTGCGACGGCCAAGGCAATGTCCGATACTTCATCGGTGCGCAAATCGACGTTTCAGGGCTGGCGATGGAAGGCGCCCGTATGGATTCCCTGCAGACGCTACGCACGCAAATTGAACGGAAGCAGCGAAGCGATAGCGAAGCCGAAGTGTCATCCCTATTACAGCAACAACAACCCCCCGAACAGATGGAACAGCTGGAGCAGCTCGAACAGCCCGAATTCGAACAACCCGAACAACCCCAACAAGAAGAAGACCAAGAGCAGCAGCCAGAAAAGCCCCCCAAGTCCGAATTCCACGAGCTCTCCGAGCTACTCAGTCCCCGGGAGCTCGGCCTAGTGCAGGACCACGGCGGCGACCTCTTCCAGCCCGTCATAGATCCCCATCTCAGTCTTCGGAGTCAACGCATGCGATCCCGCGTAGACACCTCGTGGGAGAACCAGGAGCTTGAGGCCATTCAGAGTCGGGAGATCAAATCGCCCTTCTTCAGGACATCGCTGACAGGCGTTTATGAGAATGTACGTCTACTATCCACCCGTCGGGTCACTACACACTGCAACCTTCTCTTCCCTTGTTCGTGGTAGTTATAGTACACGTTAACTGACTAACACTCCTCAACCCTCCAGTACCTCCTCGTCCGACCGTATCCCTCGCTTCGTGTCCTCTTTACCTCCCCATCTCTGCAGATCCCCGGGATGCTTCAATCGTCGTTTCTGTCTCGCATCGGCGGATCAGCGGAAATTCGTGACGAATTGCTGCATGCGATGATGAGCGGTCGCAGTGTCACGGCGCGCATCAAATGGGTGAATCGATGGAATAGCGATGGCCGTGATCGATGGGTACACTGTACGCCATTGCTGGCGAACAACGGAGAAGTGGGTGTTTGGATGGTGGTCATTGTCGACGAGGAAGGTTCGGAGGTGGATCAAGCAGAGAGAGATGAATCGGATTGATTTCTTTTTGGTTTGTGTTTTCTTCAACAATGTCATGAATATATTATAGTTTATTTACTTAATAGAGGTATTATTTTCGATCTAATCGTGCTGGCTCTGGATAGTAAAGTAGTTATCTGATTTAGTCTGGCATCTCACATTGCATCTCAAACGAATCGAATGTTCTATGTATACATTTACTTGCCTATCTTCTTTTTGTAGGTTCTATCACTGTACAATAGATGCTGTTACCGAGCCCTCATGCCCCTTTTTTGCCCAAATATCCAGATATCCAAAATCCAACCCATACGTACCTAATCCGATAACGCCATGTCCCTCAACCCCCAAGACCAGATGATTTTACGCCCTCCTCGCTGTTTCATTCCCTTCCACGGCTGCCTCTTCCTCCTTCTCTGTCTCGCTGTCTTCTC